CAACCTGGGTAAAGTCCGTCGGTGTACGTGTCTACGCCTTATCCCGCTTCCAGGCACCAGCGATGTTCTACTCGCTCCCACCATGATAAGCCATCTATTGGCATATGTCGCACCCAACCCCCGACAAGGTGGATGAGATGTCTATTTATGTAAGCTGCCTTGGTTGCTTGCATGCACTTATGCTTAATGTCTGCTAGATTGTTGTTCCTTTGCCATGGACTATATTTGGATGATGTTCATTTTTTAAGTGCAACGCTGTATGCAGATTGTACACTGTAGTGTATAAACCTGTATGCAGTGTCTATGTGTATGAATGGTGTTCATTTCGTAAGTGTATAAACCTGTATGTAGTGTCTGTCTGTTGGCATGAGAAGCTTCTGTTGATGTGTTTTGTTCCATTCATGATTTGGGGTTTATTGTTCCATTCATGATTTCGTAACTGTTATCTGCAAATGTTTAACTCATGAACAACCACTGTATGCACCTGCCAGGCCAAATGATTTCCCGATTTTGGACACCTGTGGTGTCTAGTACATGTATCATGTATATGTGCAGAGCAGAGAATGGTTGCCAACCTGTCATGTCCCCAGATCCAAGTATTAGTTTGTCCATCAAAAGTATATGTGATTATGCTTCTGCTAATCTCATGCTCGCTGCTAATCATTTCTGTTAATTGTCTTGTCTGATGATGTAGCTGCTGTAGTCTGGTGGTTGGCCTTGACCGGTCTTCTTTCAACACATGTGTTGTACACAGATTCTTGGTCAACCTTTCGTTGATAAATTAATCCATTGGCGTCTTATGTAATTGATCATAAGACCCCTGAATTTTTTTGAGGTGACACTTTTATGCTAATCATTTGCATTCCATTAACCAACAAAGCAAAGTCTGAGTGTGATTAAACAATACATTATGATGAAGGTTGGGACGAAGTACCTCAATTATATAGTACCCAGCTTCTTGTTGTACCAAGTGATGAGGCTATTGGATCTCAAGTGAGAACCGACCGGCTATCTTGGTAACTCCAGAAATCAAATTGTTGTGAGTAACTTATGATTTCAATGCTTACAGAGTTACAAATTCATAAATGTCACTTTGCTGTAATCACCAGTGTTTGTCCTAGGCCTTGCAAGGCACACCGCTAAACAGTTGCTATATCGGAGAAGAAGATCGGAAGCACAAAAATGTAAAATAAGAGAATCACTAACCAGACAAAACTCGACCTTGGCACCATCACCTTGATAGTAAAGAAGAACTATAATTGTAACTTGTAGCCAATAAGAAGGAAAGGGAAAAAAAAGTGATGGTTCACTAGAATAGGCTGCGAGGCCCAAGTGGCCTAGGAGTGCAGCGGCCCGTTATCCTTCCACCGTTGAAAGCGGGCAGTTGTCGCTGCTCTGTGAAGCCAGCCTCACGCTGTGCCTGCCACATTATGGACCGTGAGACCCAGCTTTCGCATAGGCCCCAAGCGGTCCACTACGCAACTTGGAACGGGTGGGCCGGCAGTAGCACACCCAAACCAGGCCCGCAACGCTACAACAGCGTCCACATCACCTTAATGCCCCCCACTCGGGTTACAAGCTCTCGCAACTGAGCTCGGCGAGTGGAGTAGGTGGAACCTGCTATTTAAGCTGGTCAAATGCATGCTCGGTTGGCGAGGTGGGACTAAACAAGGTGGAGTCATGCGCTTCCTGGTGGGGAATGAGGTGGAGCGTTGTGCTTTGTGCTGGTGCATGCTGGGACTGAGATTAGAGTGGGCTTTGGCAGATTAGTTAGGCCTTTGTCATTTTGGGTTCATGAACGTGGCCATGCCACGCGGACAAGGCTCTGGTAGCTCAAAAAAATGTTCTGGTACTGAAATTAACGTGGGTTTTTGAACTACAGTACTTCTTGAACTACAGTACTTGTCATTAGCACAATGTACTAGTGCTAAAGAAAAAACGTACAATGTACTTGCTTCACAGAATTAGCTCAAAAAGGAAACTTGCTTCACAGAAATGGAAACAATATAGAACTGCAGCGTGATTAGTTATGTACCTTATAAGTTATTGACGATACGCGTCTCGTTACGTAAACCGAGGTGCATTAATGACTCGCTCGATCCATTGTTTCCGTGGCATCATTTTCGTAGTTACTACATTTGAGGATGTCTGCCACCAGCAACCGACCCATTTTGCATCACTGACATCATCGCCAAGTTGAGGACGAAGCCATGAAGGAGTCTTATGAAGCATGCGTCGTCAAGTTCAGATGATGTAGCGCGTCTTCTGGATGGCCGGCGACTACAAGTCCCACCCCGATGATGGCTACGACAAGACCGCCGTGCCTGTCGTGGAGAACATCAGCTACCAGGACATGGTGACCACTGTCGTCTGGAAGGAGGCCGCCAGGATGCAGGGCACCCAGGGCACGCCCTTCACGGGCATCTGTATGGCCAACGTCACCGCCGAGATGACCAAGGAAAGGAAGGTGTCATGGAACTGCGCCGACGTCGAGGGCGTCTCGGCCAGCATCACCCCGGCACCATGCGCGCCGCTGCTGGGCACCCACGTCGGCTCCTGCCCGTTCCCCATCGACACGCTCGCCGTCGACCAGATCACTATACAACAGTGCTCATACTCCATTGCGCTTGCTACTACTTCAGTGGCTGGGACACAGTAGCTCAACCATATATAGTGAGTATCCAGCTTCTTGCTGCACCAAGTGATGAGGCTAGATCTCTAAGTGAGAATCCTAACAATAAGGAGCGCGTTGTCGAGTGGCCGCCTTGGTAACTTTAGAAGTAAAAAAGTTGTTGTGGGTAACTTACCTACTGTTCCAATGCATACAGAGTTACAAATTTAGAATTGTCATTTGTGTTGTTCATCAGTGTTTATCACAGGCATTGCAAGGCAAATCATCAGACTCAGCTTTGTTGCCTATTATCGGATAAAATGATCCAAGGTGAACCAGAATACCACAAACTATACCAGAGTCGACCTCGCAATCACCACCATACTCACAAATTATATTCAAGAGTCAAAAGGGCAAGCATATAAACCTCTTATATGTAGCACAAAAAGAATACACAATTTATATTCAAGAGTCAATAGAGTAAGCTAATACACCTCTTATGTGCAGCAAAAAAAAAGTTCATTCTTTATATTCAAGAGTCACAATTTATACTCAAGAGTGAAAAGCGTAAACAAATAAACTTTTTATGCTCAGCGAAAAAAACTCGCAATTTATATTCAACAATCACAATCTATACTCAATTGAAGAGAGTAAGCAAATAAACATCTGACCTGCAACCCAAAAAATGAAAACACTCTCATAAGCAGCAGAATGAAAAAAATGATGGTTCGTTGGAGTAGGCTGCAAGGCCCAAGTGGCCTAGGAGTGCAGCGGCCCGTTATCCTTCCACCATTGGAAGTGGGCAGTTGTCGCTGCACATCCAGACCAGGCCCGCAACGCTACAACAGCGTTCACATCACTTTAATGCCCCCACTCGGGTTACAAACTCTCGCAACTGAGCTCAGCAAATGAAGCAAATGGAGGTGGCTATTTAAGCTGATCGAATGCTTCCTTGGTTGGCGAGGTGGGACTAAAATAAGTGGAGTGCAGTGCTTCAGCTGGGGAATGAGGCGGAGCGTTGTGGAGAAGGTTTTTTAGCGTGGGCTTCTGTGCTCATCGGCCTTTGTCGTTTTGGGCTCATGGACGTGGCCATGTGGACATGGTTTGGGCAGTCAGTTGCTGGCTTTCGAACAGAGTACTAATTAGCAAAGTGAACTCCGTTTCTGTCAAAAAAAAAGCACAGTGAACTCCGTAAAATTTTTAGCACAGTGAACTTGCTTAGCAAAAATGGAAACAAGATATGAACTGCTGCATGTTTAAAGCTGGGATAAACAGTACAATCCAAAAGTGCGAGCTAGTAAAAAAATTAAATGCGGAAGGTTAATTAGTGAAGAGAGAGATTAATCTCTCTTCTTCTCCAATCCTCTCCAAACTAATCTTCTTCTCAAACAAGCAAAAGAAGAGAGAGATTCTTACTGTATGAAGTCATCGCTGAGTCTTATGAACGTGGCATCGTCTGAGTTCAGATGATGGAATGTCCGACGACGAGAGCGAATCGGGAGTACGGTGGTGATCGGAATGAGGACCAAAAGGATGCAAGACGAGCAACCGACGAAAAGTGAGAACGAACCAGACCATGCATCGTCCATGAACCGTCATGTGCAGAAGACGAGGAAATTCTCAAACAGATCAACATAGTTACACTGTGATGAGCAGTTTACAACGAATCCTAATATGTACAAAGTCAGTCACATTCACTTGTAGTCCATGTTGAGTATCGTGATTATTAGGAAAGACAAGATAGGCTAAGATTTATTCTGACTTGTCTTGTACTTCAAGTAGATCATTGTACTCTTGTATATATACCCATAAGACTCAAGCAATACATGAACTATTTTACCAATCCCTCTCTCCCTTTTAACATGGTATCGGCCTTATCTCGATTCTAAACCCTAGCCGTCTCCGCTTCCGCACCCGCGCGCCGCCCCGGGGCGGTCGGCGTCCATGACCGCCGCCGGGGGCCGCGCCGCCCGTACCTAGGGTTCGTCCGCCGGCCGTGTTGGCCGGTTGCCCTAGAGAGTCTTTTTCCCGAGCATTTGCTCCAGATTTTTTTGCTCTCTCGCCGGTCGTTTTGATCGGCGTTTTTCTTTTTGGTTTTCCAATCTATACTTGATCGGTTTGTGTTGCCCGCCGCCGCTGTCGACGCCCCGCACCTCTACTCCGACACCGGCACGATCGGCTGGCTACTTCACCGACCCGGCGGCCTCGCGCGACAGGCAGCCCTCAAGGCCGTCGCCCACGCGCCGGCCCGCCCATCGCCCTGCGCCGGCCGTCACCGCCCTGCTCCAACCGGAACACCTGCATCGCCTACATCCGGCGGCCTCGCGCCATGCCGCGACCAATCATAGCCGCCGCTCGCGCGTCGGCCCGCCAATGGATCCACGCCACCGCCTCTGTCGCGTCTGCACAACGGCCCGGCAATCTACTTCACCGGCCTCGTCCTCGGCTGCGTCGGGACGGTTGCGTCAGGCTCATTGGCTGCCTCAACTCTGGCGCCGCTGCTTTGTTGGTCGCTCGGGTCTCGTTGCCCAGGCGCCGGCGCTGATTTGGTAGCCCGAGTGCCGGTGCTGACAAGCTCGTCCGCACGATGTCCCACGCCGTCCGTCGTCGCCGGCCTCATCTCGGACTCCGCCGCCACCCCGCCTCCACCGAGGGGCGTCCCCGACCTCGTGTGCGATCGGCTTGATTACACGCTCGCCGCTGCGATCCGCCTCATCTACGCGCGCGACCGATCTGACCCGTTGGTTACGCGCGCCTCCGCAGGTCCCGTGAAGATCGCCCCCAGTTCAAAGCAACTGATTATGCCCAGGAGGCGTTTTCCCCTGCCCTAGCCGCCGCGACAACCAGGTGACTAGGGAGGCGGATCTTCTTCCACCGATCTCCACCGGTCAGGACGTTGGTCCCCTCTCCCTCCGGCTGCTGCTCCGACAGCAGGAGGGAGGGGGGACCCCATTCCTCCATTCTGTAGTTAGGATTTGGATTTGTAGGTCGTGGTATGTCGTTGGGGTGGTGGGAGCGACGCCCAGGCGAATAAATCTGCCTCAACTCCACTCCCACACTGGTGGTGCTCATCATGACGACGTCTCGGAGTTGATGGCATCGTGTCTTTGCCGATCCTTCAAACAGCTCAAACAGGCGAAAAAGGAGATTTTTACTGCATGCAAAGCTGCATCGACATATTTGACTGGTTCGCCTTCGAGTACACCATCAAATGCGGATGATACAGCTGGCTCAACAAGCAATACTCTTTTCGAGGGGACATGGATCAGAAGCATTATTGGCATCAGTATGAAGCTATCGAAGAGCCTTATGAACGATGCATCGTCAAGTTCAGATGATGAAACATCTGATGATGCAAGCAAATCAGATCGTAAACAGCCTGGTAGTGATCAAAACAAGGACGAAAAGGATGCAAGACAAGAAGGTCAAAGCACGAAAAGCGAGAAAATCATCATTCAGGGCATGGCCAACGCGTCGCCCCAAAGGTGATGCCCCGCCAGCTAACTAGGCTCGGATGCCACCATGGCAGTAAAGCTACAGCCTGGAGGTGACTGGTGATTCCTGCAGAGGAGGCGGCTTCCTCGAGCGAAAAAGCAAGAGAAGTGATGAAAAAGGGAGAGAAAGAGAGGAATGGGGAGGAAAGGAACTGGTTCGACCATGGAGGGCCACGAGCTTGGAAACACGACCATGCTTGGCGGCGCAAGCTCGGGATTGTTGGCATGGCGGTTGCGGCCGACCTAAAGCAAGTGCGATTTGGGGAAATCGAGCTCTTCCATCTGGGACTCCCGCACCGGTCAGATCTGAAATGGGGGCAGAATTTTCTTGCGTGGAGAAGTACAAGGGCTTCACCAAATCTCACCTCGATTTGTTAGAGAGAAGCGGGATTGGAGATTTTCCTGTGAGTTTGGGGCAGATGGATAGCTGAATCGAGCCACAAGTGGGGAAGATTTGTGGAAGAATGCACACAGCGATAGATGAATCGAGAAGAGAATAGCTTGCACAGGGAGACGTGGGCCCCAATGGGTGGTGGCCCTGGGTTAGTGCGTTGGAGAGTAAAAGTCAAACCTACAGCCTCATTTAATTTTTTGTCTACGTGGACAACGGGGCAGCACCAAGGTGATGCCACCATTATACATGCCCTCATGAAGCCCACAGCATGATGTGCAGAAAGAGAAGCAACTTTCTCGAACCGATAAAAATGGTTACAAAGGGGAGCGGTTTAGACAAATCCTAACATGTACAGAGTCAGTCACATTCACTTGTGGTCAAGAATTGGAAGCTGCGACGTAGTAGTCCTGAGGAGGAGCGCCGAAGCGACGGAGTGTATCACGATGTGTGCGATCCTCAGCTTTATCTGCCCACGACGCGGCAGCGGCCGAACCCCGTTCCGCCTTTCACCCTTGCAGACTCTGATGAGATCGCCGGCACAAACTCTCTCGCCCATGGTGGTGAAGGAGATGTCTTTCTGTGAGCTTCCTTGGTTGCTTGCTTGCACTTATGCTTGATGTCTGCTCCCTGCATGGTGGTCTATTTATAAGGCTTCAGGGAGTTCTATCCGGATCCAAGACATGCCAGCTAGATTGTTTCTCCTTTGCCATCGACTGTATTTGGATGATGTTCATTTTTTAAATGCAACCCTGCATGTAGACTCTAGTGTCTGTCTGTTGGTATGGGAAGCTTCTGTTGATGTGTTTTGTTCCATTCATGATTTGGGGCTGTTTGTCCCTGTGTTATCTGCAAATCTTTGACTCTTGAAACACTATGCACCTGCCAGGCCAAATGATTTGCCAATTTTTGGACACCTGTGGTGTCTAGTACATGTATCATGTATATGTGCAGAGCAGAGCATGGTTGCCAACCTGTGATGTCCCCAGATCCATGAAGAAGCATCTGTGACTATGCTTGTTTGATTGTGTGATTATGTTTGTTAATTGGGGGCAGTCAGAAGGTTCCTGTCTCATGCTTGCTACTAATCATTTGCATTGTCATGTCTGATGAAGTGGGTGCTGCAGTCTGGTGGTTGGCCTTGACTAGTCTTGGCTGAACACCTGTGCTGTACTACAGTAGCCATGGAAGACAATTTTTTGGTCAACCTTTTGTTGAAAAATTAATGCATGGCTGTCTCCTGTGATTGGTCATAAGACCTCTCCATTTTTATTGAGGTGTCACATTTGTGCTAATCATTTGCATTCCATGAACCAGGAAAGCTGAGTGTGAGTGATGAAATAAGACATTATGATAAAGGCTGAGACATAGTAGCTCAATCATATTGTATTCAGCTTCTTGCTGTACCAAGTGATGAGGCTATTGGGTCTCTAAGTCAGAACTGTAACAGTAAGAAGCGTGTTGTCGACGGACTGCCTTGGTAACTTCAGAAGTCAAATGTACAAAGTGCAAAGTCAAAAGGGTCACTTTGTTGTAATCATCAGAGTTTATCATAGGCCTTGCGAGGCAAGCTGCCAAACTGCTGCTTCATTGCCGTATTTGTCCTGGTGCTGGAGGATGCCAGGGGAAAGGCACATCTCCAAGGATGTACTCCCTCCGTCCGAAAATACTTCTCATCAAAATGGGTAAAAAGAGATGTATCTAGAACTAAAATACATCTAGATACATCCCCTTTTATCCATTTTGATGACAAGTATTTCCGGATGGAGGAAGTATAAATAATGCTTAGTCTATTCTAATAAACTAGCCTCTTTTAAACAGAGTGTAACAAGAAGATCGAAAACACAAAAATGTTAAACAGAGTGTAACACTAACTAGGCGAAACTCAACCTCACAACCACCATCTTGATGGTCGGAAAAAAGATAACCGAAAAAAAGGTGATGGTTCGTTGGAGTAGGCTGCGAGGCCCAAGCGGCCAAGGAGTGCAGCGGCCCGTTATCCTTCCACCGTTGGAAGCGGGCAGTTGTCGCTGCTCTGTGAAGCCAGCCTCACGCTGTGCCTGCCACATTATGGACCGTGAGGCCCAACTTTCGCATAGGCCCCAGCCGGTCCACTACACAACTTGGAACGGGCGGGCCAGCAGTAGCACACCCAGACCAGGCCCGCAGCGCTACAACAGCGTTCGCATCACCTTAATGCCCCCACTCGGGTTACAAGCTCTCGTAACTGAGCTCGGCGAATGAAGAGAGTGGAGACGGGTATTTAAGCTGGTAGAACGCCTCCTCGGTTGGTGAGGTGGGACTAAACTAAGTGGAGTGACGTGCCTCTGCTGGAATGAACGGAGCGTTTTTAGCGTGGGCTCCTCTGGCTTCGGCCTTTGTCGTTTTGGGCTCATAAACGTCCCCATGTGGCCATGTGGACATAGTTTGGGCAGCCATTCGGTGGTTTTGGAACGAGTGCTAATTAGCAAGAGTACGGCAAGCTCATGCACACCGACGGCGTCTTCATCTCCAACGTGACCCTGGTGAACTCGCCAGCGTGCAACATCGCGGTGTCCGGGGTGACCATGCTGGCGCCCACCAAGTCCCCCAACACGGACGGCATCAACCCGGACTCGTGCTCCCAGGTGCGCATCGAGGACTGCTACGTCGTCTCCGGCGACGACTGCATGGTCATCAAGAGCGGCTGGGACGAGTGCGGCATCGCGTCGGCATGCCCAGCGAGCACATCGTGGTGTGCCGCCTCACCTGCGTCTCGCCGACGAGCGCGGTGATAGTGAGATGTCGGGCGGCCTCCGGGACGTGCGCGCCGAGGACATCACCGCGGTCGGGACCGAGTCGGCGGTGCAGATCAAGACGGCCGTCGGCCACTGCGCGTATGTGCGCGACGTGTACGCGCGCCGGATGAGGCTCGACGGCATGAAGCGCGTCTTCTTGATGACCAGTGACTACATGTCCTGCCTGACGACGGCTACGAACAAGACGGCCATGCCTGTCCTCGAGGACATCAGCTACCAGGATGTGGTGGCCACCGGCGTCTGGAAGGAGGCGGCGAGGATGCAGGGCATCCAGGGCGCGCCCTTCATGGGCATCTGCATGGCCAACGTCACCGCGCGCCGAGATGACCAAGAAGAGGAAGGTGTCGTGGAACTGCGCCGACGTCGAGGGCGTCTTGGCCGGCGTCACCCCGGCGCCATGTGCCCCACTGCAGGGCACCCACGCTGGCTCCTGCCCGTTCCCCACCGACACGGTCGCCGTCGACCAGATCACTGTGCAGCAGTGCTCATACTCCATCGCGCCTGCCATATATAGTGAGTATCCAGCTTCTTGTTGCACCAAGTGTTGAGGCTAGGTCTCTAAGTGAGAACCGTAACAATAAGGAGCGTGTTGTCGAGTGGCTGCCTTGGTAACTTTAGAAGTAAGAAAGTTGTTGTGGGTAACTTACTGTGTGAATGCATACAGAGTTACAAATTTAGAATTGTCACTTTTTTTGTTCATCAGTGTTTATCGCAGGCATTGCAAGGCAGACCGTCAAACCTCTGCTTTGTTGCCTATTATCGGATAAAAAGATCAAAGGTGAACCAGAATACCAAAAACCATACCAAGTCGACCTCTCAATCACCACCATACTCACAATTTATGTTGAAGAGTCAAAAGATTGAGCAAATAAACCTCTTGTATCGAGCACACAAAAAATACTAACAATTTATATTCAAGAGTGAAAAGAGTAAGCTAATAAACCTCTTATGTGCAGCAAAAAATAATAATTTATTATTATATTCAAGAGTCACAATTTATAATGAAGAGTGAAAAGTGTAAACAAATAAACATTCTATGTTTAGCGAAAAAACTCACAATTTATACTCAAGTCAAAAGAGTAAGCAAATAAACGTCTTACGTGCAACACAAAAAATGAAAATACTCTCATATGCAGCACAAAGAAAAAAAAAGTGATGGTCCGTTGGAGTAGGCTGCAAGGCCCAAGTGGCCTACGAGTGCAGCGGCCCGTTATCCTTCCACCGTTGGAAGCGGGCAGTTGTCGCTGCTCTGTGAAGCCAGCCTCACGCTGTGCCTGCCACATTATGGACCGTGAGGCCCAGCTTTCGCATAGGCCCCAGGCGGTCCACTACGCAACTTGGAACGGGCGGGCCAGCAATAGCACACCCAGACCAGGCCCGCAGCGCTACAACAGCGTCCACATCACCTTAATGCCCCCACTCGGGTTACAAGCTCTCGTGACTGAGCTCGGCGAGTGAAGAGAGTGGAGACGGGTATTTAAGCTGGTCGGACGCCTCTTCGGTTGGCGAGGTGGGACTAAAGAAAGAGGAGTGATGTGCTTCCTGCTGCTGAGTGGGAGATGATTTTAACGTGGGCTTTGGCAGCTTTAGCATTTGTCGTCTTGGGCTGATGAACGTGGCCATGTGGGGAAGGCTTTGGCAGCCATTCGTTGATTTTTAGCGCTAATTAGCATAGTGAACTTGCTTAGCAGAAATGGAAACAAATATAAATTGCTGCATGTTGAAAGCTGGGATATTTTTTCGGCCTTGTTGAGTAGTCTTCTCTTCTCCAACCCTCTCCAAACAGCCCAAACAAGCAAAAAGAAAAAAAAGAGATGTTTACAGGTGGCTCAGCAAAAAGAAAAAAAGTGATGCCTGGTCAAGTACACCATCGGATGCAGGTGACTCAACAAGCAGTTTATCAGAAGCATTTTTGGTATGAGAAGCTTCTGTTGATTGTTGATATGTTCTGTCCCAGACATGATTTGGGCCTTTTTATCCCTGTGTTTATCCGCAAATCTTACACTTGATGTGATTCTTAGACACCTGTGGTCTTAGGCTGGTCACAATGGGTAAGAACATAACCTAGTAACTTACACACTTCCCTAGACTATGTTACTACCTCCATAGTGGGTAGGAACATCTATGTAGTGTCATGCAACGATGTATTTTTTAGGTTATAGACTCATTGTTTCTTGGAGTGTGTGATGTTCCGGTAACTTAGCTAGTTACCACAAGCACCTCTCTCTTTATTAAATACGTGCCACATAAGCAAAGTTGTATTGGAGTGTGTGATGTTACTCCTAAATTCCTCCTCACTGTGACCAGCCTTAGGTACTACATGTGATGTACGTTGAGAGCAAGGAATTAATGGTTGCCAACCTGTGATGTCCCCAGATCCAGAGCATTAGTAATCTGCCTATGAAGAAGCATCGATCTCTGGTTATGCTTGTTAATTGGGGGCAATCAGATCATTTGCACTGACTGCTCTTGGTTCAACACCTGTATATGTATGTATGTGAGATCTCCTGCCCCCATGGAAGACATTCCAGTCAACCTTCTGATGATAGATCAATTATGTGCATTTTATCAATCACCTGCGTAACGGAAAAGGCCAGGAATGGATGCAGGTCATAGAGTACACAAAGACAGTCAAACGGATGCTGGCGCGCGGGGCAGAGCACGTACATGGCGCCCAACTGCCGGGAGCCCACGGGCGTCGCTGCTGGACTTCAGCGGGCTGGGCGACGGCAACACCTCCAACACGGAGGCGCTCCGGAGGGCGACGGCGGCGGCCGGCATGTTCTACGTCCTTCAAGGTCACCAGCCACTTCAGGCTCTTCCTCCACGCCGTCGTCATCCTCGCCACCCAGGACGTTGCGCAGTGGCCGGTCATCGACCCTCTGCCCTCCTTGGTTTGTGCGCGCCGGATGAGGCTCAACGGTATGAAGCGCGTCTTCTGGTTGACCGGCGCCTACAAGTCCCTCCCCGATGACGGCTACCGTGGTGGAGAACATCAGCTGCCAGTACGTGGTGGCCACCGGCGTCTGGACTCTGGAAGGAGGCGGCGCGGATGCAGGGCATCTGCATGGCCAACGTCACTGCCGAGATGATCAAGGAGAGGAAGTTTGTCGTGGAACTATGCAGACCAGATCACCCCGTTCCCGACCCAGCACACTCGCCGTTGACCAGATCGCCATGCAACAATGCTCATACTCCATCGCACCTGCTACTTCAGTGGCTGGGACGGAGTAGCTCAGCTAGACAGCATCCAGCTTCTCGCTGCACCAAGTGATGAGGCTGTTGTATCTCTAAGTGAGAACAGTAACAATAAGGAGCATGTTGTCGAGTGGCTGCTTTGATAACTTTAGAAGTAAAGAAATTGTGAGTAACTTACATCAGTGTTTTGTATTATGAATTGTCACTTTGTTGTAATCATCAGTATTTTGTATCCTAGGACTTGCAGGGTGGACCGTTAACTCAGTGTTTTGTTGCTGTATTATCGGATAATAAAAAAATCCGAAGCACAAAAAGGTGAACCAGAGAACCACTAACCATACCAAATTTGACCTTGCCACAACCGCTATACTCAGAATTTATATTCAAGAGTCAAAATAGTAAGCAAATAAACCTCTTATATGCAACATACACACACAAAAAAATACTCACAATTTTTATCCAAGAGTAAAAAGAGTAAGCAAATAAATTATATTCAAGAGTCATAATTTGCACTCAAGAGTAAAAAATGTAAACAAATAAAACACCTACGTTCAACATTAAAAAAAAGGAATACTCACAATTTATACTCAAGTCAAAAGAGTAAGCAAATAAACTTGTTACATGCAACAAAAAAAAGAAAATACTCTAGGTTCATATTCAAGAGCCAAAAGAGTAAGGCAAAAAAAATATTTTTTATACTCAGCACAAAGAAAAAAGTGATGGTTCGCTGGAGTAGGCGGCGAGGCCCAAGTGGTCTAGGAGTGCAGCGGTCCGTTATCCTTCCACCGTTGGAAGCGGGCAGTTGTCGCTGCTCTGTGAAGCCAGCCTCACGCTGTGCCTGCCACATTATGGACCGTGAGGCCCAGCTTTCGCATAGGCCCCAGGCGGTCCACTACGCAACTTGGAACGGGCGGGCCAGCAATAGCACACCCAGACCAGGCCCAGAACGCTACAACAGCGTCCACATCACCTTAATGCCCCCACTCGGGTTACAAGCTCTCGTGACTGAGCTCGGCGAGTGAAGAGAGTGGAGACGGGTATTTAAGCTGGTAGAACGTCTCCTCGGTTGGCGAGGTGGGACTAAAGAAAGAGGGGTGCTGTGCTTCCTGCCGCGAATGGGAGATGTTTTTAGCATGGGCTTTGGCAGCTTTAGCATTTGTCGTTTTGGGCTCATGGACGTGGCCATGTGGGCAAGGCTTTGGCTGCCATTCGTAGATTTTAGTGCTAATTAGCATAGTGAACTTGCTTCCCAGAAATGGAAACAGTATAAAGTGCAGCATGATTAAAGCTGGGACTTAGAAATATTTTACTTGTATAAGAATCCCAAACGCATATCAGTTGGAAAAATAGTATAGAGTCTCCATATCATGCATGCTTGAGTTATAAGATTCTTAAGGGCATTCCCAATGCGACGACGTGTACTGTATCTAAAGCGTAATTAGCTAATAAAAAATCCAACGTGTTCTGTATCTTGTTGATGATACAAGTCTTTGACTGATGCATCGTCAACTGCACCATTGGATGCAGGTGGCTCAACAAGCAGTTATCTTTTCGAGGGGACGTTTATCAGAAGCAATTTTTGGCATCAGCATGAAGCCATCCAGGAGTCTCATGAACGATGCATCGTCGAGTTCAGACGATGAAACATCTGACGACGAGAGCGAATCGGGTGATAAACAACCTGGTATGGTAGTGATCAAAATGAGGACCAAAGGATGCAAGACAAGAAGATCAAAGCATGAAAGGTGAGAACGAACCACAACATATCATCATCTATGAAGCCCACACCTTGATCCTGATGTGCAGAAAGAGGAGCAACTTTCTCAAACTGGCAAGGATAGTTACACGGGGGGAACGGTTCACAACAAATCCTAACATGTACAGAGTCACTGACATTCACTTGTGATCCAGAACAGGAAGCTGCGACGTAGTCCTGAGGAGCGCCGAAGTGACGATGTGCACAATCCTCAGCTTTATCTGCCCACAACGCGGTAGCGGCTGAACCCCGCTCCGCCTTTCGCCCTTGTAGACTCCGACGAGATCGCTGGCACAGACTCTCTCGCCCATGGTGGTGAAGGAGGTGTCTGTGACTGAACTTCCTTGGTTGGTTGGTTGCTTGCACTTATGCTTGATGTCTGCTCCCTGCATGGTCTCGTCTATTTATAAGGCTTCAGGGAACTTTATGTTGATGCTAAATTCTTGCTCCTTTGTCGTATCATCGGACGGCGCCATTGATTGAATGTATTTGGGTCACGTTCTTTTCTTACATGTAGTGTCTGTTGGTTGTTTCGTCCCAGGCACGGCTTGGGGCTGTTTGTCCAAGTGTTGTCTGAACAAATCTTTGACCCTT